AGCCCATGTGTGTTTATGTCCTTGTTTGTTTTCCAATGCAGCGTCACCGCCCTGCTGTCTGTGTCCCCCGCAAGCAACTCCAATAAAATCTCAATTCCATTTCTGGCCATTTTGCAGTTTCCATTCATCCCTTTGCATTGAGACATGAGTGAAGAGAATATGCATTCATTACAGTATTTCTTACGGAAAATTTCAATAAACTAATTCAAAGAACAAATCAATTTTTGTGTTATACAAGATTATTATATATAGTTGTGTACGTCACTGAAACAATCCAGATTTGCCCAGTGCAGATGATTGGCTATTTAAAGATTTGCACAGAACGGGACTTTATCGGTATTTTGAAATAATTCAAATTAGTGCCACATAAAATACTGATTGTGAATGTCTGCGTAACAGAACTCGGTAAACTCGGTAAACTGTAATATGGTATTGGCATTGTTTTTGGGAAATGGTACCATGGTAATATCATGTTTTGGACATGCACCAAAGGTAATACAAGTGTAATCTGTTAGGAGAACCATAAATATGATGCAGGAATATGGCAATCGCCAAGTGCCATGGTACAAAACTAAACAAAAAACACTATTATCATCCGCCATCACTGTACCGCGATAAAGTGATTGTCCTCCCAGAAATTAAAAATCTAATGATTTACACACCATCATGTCATTCCAAACCTGTATGACTTTATTTCTTATGTAAAGATATTTTGAAAAATGTTTGACGAAAAACAAAGTTTCGGTTCCCATTGACTTCCATTGTACAGACTAAAAATACTATGGGACCCAAATCTGTTCGGTTACATTACATTCTTCGGAGTATCTTCTTCTGTGTTCTAATGAAGAAAGAAACATGTTTGTAATGACACGAGGCCGAGTAAATAATGACAGAATGTATTTTTGGGTGTACTGTCCCTTTAAGGGTAAATAGCCAATCCGATTTCTAGTATTCATTTTAATCACCTGGTTGTTTAGCGTTGCAAATCCAAAACTAAGAATCATTTGTTTAACATTAAAAACTAAACGTTTTTTTTGTTCAGCAGATCCTATAAGCGACTGCATTAATCTTAAACGCGCGTGCGCTCGCTCCTCCCGCGCGCTCCGTCCTTTGCGTAAAGCGTGCCTGCGCATCCCGCCGCGTGCGCTGTTTGCGTAGCCGTGCCCGTGTCTACGCACGCGCTTCGGTCACTCGCCCGCCGCAGCGGTGTTGCCAAGTCCGCCGATTTCCCGCGAAATGTATCTACTTCAACACTGTTGCCGCGGGTTACAGCAACCCCAATAACCTGGTATCTAGCTTAAACATGTATAGATGCCATAGTCTAGCGATCCAGACACGTTGACGCGTCCGCCATTTTGGAACGGTCAACCTGACGTCATTCACCATAGCAATCAATGCATATTTAAAGACATACATGCATATAACTTAATTGCTTTAGTACAGGCACAGCCACTGGAAGGCAAGCATTAGCCAAAAAAGCACACCGGCTAATGCTAACGGAGAGGAGACCAGAGGCTGTTGTATTGAATGGGTGTCGATGGAAGCGCTACGCGGAATAAACAGCTATCTGCTAATATTCAATAGGCTTTACACTGAACAATTCTTTTGGATTGAACTATTTTTAGGGTTTACCACAAAAAAAGAAAAAGGTATATATTTCCAGAGCTGGGAAGGTTACTTTGGAAATGTATCAGGTTACAGATACAAGCATTTAAAATGCAATAGCAGTGTAACTGTTTCAATTACTTTATTAATGTAACTACTTTTTGACTGCCCGTCTAAATTTCTAACGAATGTTTTATTTTAAACATTATTTTGAAACATTTAAGGCAGGGTTAACTGTCAGACATTCATAATAAAGATATTATAATCATTTAATTTTAACACAGAATCAGACTTTAGCACCTGAGATCATTCTGAGGTTACATACCGATATAAAATCATAACAAGCAATCGTTTAATAGCTACTGATTTTTAAATCAAATCTTTACATAGTTATGATAGGGCATCTAACAATGCCTTGGAAAAAAAATATTAATTCTTTAAAAATTCTTAAAGGGTTAGTTAACCCAAAAAGGAAAATTAGCCCATGTGTTACTCACCCCCGAGGCATCCTAGGTGTATACGACTTTCTTCCTTCAGACCAATCCAGTCAGAGTTATATTAAAAATTGTCTTTGATTTTTCAAGCTGTTTAATGCCACTCAGCAGGTGTTGCATGCATCAGTCCAAAAGAAGTTAAATAAAAAGCGCCCATCCATAAAAAAGTGTCTCACACGGCTCCGGGGGGTGAACAAAGGCCTTCTGTAGCGAATCAATGCGTTTTTGTAAGAAAAATATCCATATTCAAAACGTAATAATCACTTGCGGCAGCAGCTGTACACAGAAGCAGCTCCGGCGGATGACGTATGAGTTCAGCGCTGCGCATGCGCCGGTGAGTCTCGTGAAAACCAGCGTTTGTTAACAGCAGC